TAACTACAATTCTTACTTGATAACTGTTTTTGTTATATGTAATTTTACTATGTTAAAGTTAAAACCTTCCTTTTGAATAGAAAGAAAGGGGGAAATGATGGGTGATGTCGTTCTGTATGCTGTGAATGTGTTGCTCTGATTGGATGATAAATAAAGCTGTTTGGTCAATGGTGAGGCAGAATAAGGTTAGGCGGGACATTCCAACTAAAGGAAAAGGAAGGAGAAAGGCAGAACAGAGAAGATGCTGCCAGCCACCACCAGGAGAAGCAAGATGTAAAGATACTGGTAAGCCACATGGCAAAGTGTAGATTTATAGAAATGGGTTAATTTAAGATATAAGAGCTAGTTGGTAAGAAGCCTGCCATGGCCATAGTTTAAAAATAATATAAGCCTGTGTGTGTTTATTTGGGTCTGAGCAGCTGCAGGACCGGCAGGTGAGAGAGATTTGTCCTAAGTAAAGGCCAGGTGGGACATGGGAAAACTTTCAGCTACAATCAGCCATGGAATCCTCATGTCTATGGCCCATGAAACTCTGAATTCTCTCTCTTGCATCACTAGGAGAAGCAGACATGGAGGAGATCTATCACCAAGCTGCATGGCCACAGTCTACCTTCAGTTCTCCACTTTGCAAGAGATGGTTTTAGGAGGAAACCAGGAAAGACCAGGAAGGAGGGCCTAAAACAGTGATGCTGCCAGGCCCATCCCTGCTTAGGCCAGGCTGGCCACCCTACACTGAATGACCATCACCAGATAGGTATGGATTAGAATCTCCCTGTCTGCATTTGGAAGCAGGCTTATTCAGCATGAGCTGTGTGCTGGCTCTGCCCCCAGCCCAGGATCCACACTGAGCATAAATGGAGGAAGTAACTGCATGAGCAAGAGGGGGAGGGGCCACAGATTGTCATGACCTTCTCTGAAGGCTCATCTGCCCCTGGTCTCCTAGCACAGTCAATCCCCACTACCCAGGCTCAGTGTCCCAACAGTCTGTGTTTACCTGATGACTTCAGCAGCCCAGACTCCCCCAGTACCTGTTAGGCTGCATCATAGTTCCCTCTAGCATGGATATATTTGTCTGAATCTTTCCAGTTGGCCTCCTTCATGTTAGAGTAGGCTCGCCACATGCCCCCAGCCCCTGGGTGGGAAAGACAATAGTAATATGAACCTCAAGACTCTACCTATGTCTTAGAGAGGATGAAAGGGATGAAAAGAACTCATGGCTTGAGCTTGTGGTCAGAGCAGCCTGAGACCATGGTAGAGAAGAACATTGTCTAATCTAATCCTACTTGGTCAAAGTTACCACTGAGCATCATTAGGGTGTGATCTTGTGTTGTGTTAGCATGACCAGCACAGTGCACTTGTTATCTCCAGATTATTACACAACAGGGAGTATTCGATGTAAAGAAGGAAGAAGTTATCACAGAACTGGATTTCACAGCTTTGGCTCTATTGGACCGTTGGGCCTCTTATTTCCAGGGCTGATCTGAGGACTGAGTAAGGTTTTCAGCATCCTTGTTTCTTCCTAACATCTTTTGAGAGCATAATCCCCTGGTATGTCATGTAACATATGTCCAGACATTGAAAATGTCCAATAAGTCACTGTCAAATTACCCTTGACCAAAATGAGTGTTCAAGAATGAATTTAGGGCTTGAGAGATGGCACAGTGATTAAGAACACTGGCTGTTCTTCCTGAGGACCCAGGTTCAATTCCCAGCAACCTCATAGCAACTCATCATTGTCTGTAAGTCCAGTTCCAGAAATCTGACATCCTCACACCAATGCACATTAAAATAAAATTAAATAAATTTTAAAAGGTTTTTTTAAAAAAAATAAATTTACATTTCTTAAGGAATAACAAGTATGAGGAGCCACAGGAAAGGCAGAGAAGGGTGCACTCAGAAAACACTTCTGTACTAATTTCTAAGCAATCCATCTCAACAATGTGCATGCACGTCACTGTCAACAGGCACATCAAGTCCTTCTAAACAGACTGTGCAGTGGGGTGATGATTGAGGAGGCACTAGAGCCACAGTCCTCAGTGGTGGCTGTAGGTTCAATCACATAGGGATTTACTGAAAGCTGCCATGACAGCCACATCCAAGATCAATTCCTGAGACTCTGGGATTAAAAGGGCACAGGCTTCAGTAGTATTAAAACCTACTGGGGATTTCACATGCACCTAACAAGTTCACATGGGAGACAGCAAGCAGACACATCAACCAGGCTAGACTGGTCTCAGGCACAGCCAAATTCAAACACTGCTCTGCCACCTGCTGTGTTCAGACCATTACCATCACTAGTCCGAGATTTGTATTTGTATGGCACCCTACAAAACCTCAAGAAGTTACATCCCAAGGCAGTGGGCAAAAGCTTTGAAATGGTTGGCTGAACACCACAAGCCATACTTCATGCATCAGCCTTACCTCGGTAAGCCTCACCAATAAATGAAAACCAACTGCTGACCCCCAGGGTCAGGGAGCAGAAAATGAGGCCAGTGAGAAGCTTCATCCTACAGAAATCAAAAGAGAATCTAGGAGACATGCCCAAATTTGTACCTCCCCCTTAAACATCTGTAGTCCAGGAAGAGGCTAATTGTCCATTCCCAATGCTGCACAACTAGAATCCAAGTAGGACACCTAGGTGACCTTGCAACAGGACCTTCTTCAAAATCACAAGCCTTCAGTTATGATCCCATCAGCCCTGAACCAAGTCTGTCTGGGAGGACAGCAAGACAGCACTGATGGAGGAAGAGAGAGACATCGAGAGCCGATCGTCTCCCCCTACAGGAACCCACAATTCATGGTGAGGCATTTCCCACATGTCCCTTCAGCACAGCACAAACTTCACATCATATATATTTAGAACACAAAGATTAGTTTAAAAGGAAATCACACTCTGGGACAGAAGAGTAGAAATGTTTGTGGAGGTCAGTCCAAGGAGTCATCTCTCATCTGAGTCCTGGAGAGTAGGTGATAGTCTGTGGCTGTCAGGGAGAGGATGCTGGTACTTATGTTGAGACTCCTCAGTGTTCCCACTGGCTCAGGTGTCAGGCTGGGTCCCTGGGGAAAGTCCCACCATGTCATTTCCCATGAAATACTACAAAAGACTCTCCCTGGACTCCAGGATGTTGTTTCTTCATAGGAGAGCTTACCCAGTTGTGCAACCAGAGGACACAAGACAGCTTTGATTTTCTTTGATTGGCTGTTGGGTTAGGAAGCATTCACTAGGGGAATGGGATTCCTTAGCCTTGTAAAGTGTAGAGTGACAGGTGTCACCTATCCAGGATATAGCCTTCTTGGTTATTGACCTATGGGGGACTTTGCTGTGTAGAGTCAGATGTGTTGAGTCTATGACACCTAAAAATGCTCCCATCTGTGATGGGGTGGGGACAGTTTTTCCTAGTGGTTGATTAGTTGATGCACATAGCCAGGAGGAAAAATAACCTACAATCGTGGTGTATGGGAAGACTGTCAGAATGGTGGAAATTCAATAAGGTGGATAGATGTCTTACAAGTGTGCACTGTTCAGAGATGAACATGGACATTGCTAGTATGTAGAAAATTATGAGAGTCTGTGATTGGACTTACTATTTTATGTGTTCATGGTTCCCCCAGTGTGTGGAAACACATGAATCCCAAGTTCACAGCAAGCCTCACAGACAAGCCCACTTGTACCCAGTAATCTGCAGTCTGTAGCAACAACCTGGCAGCAGAGTTCAGGAGCTGTGTGGCCTGAGAATTTTTCTCTTCTTCATCAGGGAGGGATCACAGCATGCAAAGATTATCAAAGACATGAACTAGGATTAGGACTTAATTCTGAGTTCAGTAAACAGCAGAAAGAATTTTAAGCCAGTGGTAGAAATTGATGAGTCAGGAAATAATCCAGGTGGCTGCAGAATA